CAACAATGCATTCAGAATCATCAGACACACCCCACTCACTGTAATCCTAAAATGGAGCCCAGCTCTCATGCCAATTATTCTTACCATAATGGACCAGGAAGCAGCTTGCTTTTGTCCTCAAATACTTCAGACTCCAAGAGAACTGCAAGCTCCAGGTTTTGTTTTTTGTTTTTTTTTTTTTAATATATTTTTTTAGTTGTAGATGACACAATACCTTTATTTCATTTATTTATTTTTATGTGGTGCTGAGGAGCAAACCCAGTGCCTCACAAGCGCTCTACCACTGAGCTACAACTCCAGCCCCTCCAGAGTCTTTACTGACAACCTGGGCCACATTCCCCTTGAAGCATCAGCACACACCTCAGGAGAGAATTTGGGAAATACTCCTGCAGGGCGAGCAGCTGGAACCCCACTCACTGCTCAAAAGTAAGAGTGAGTGAGGATTTTCTCTCTTCCACCCCGCCACCCCCCTAGTCCTCAAGGCCAGCAGCATTGCAGGGAGGGAACTAATCTCAGATCACTGAGGTAAGTGAAAGTGATAATGATGAGCCTCAGATGAGCTGTTTAATGTTTTTAAAATCTCCCTGGTCCCTGAGCCTTATGAGAGAAGCTGCTATAACCCAAGACATGAGGAAATTGGAAACACACCTCAGGCAACCATGCTCTAATTTACAACAGAAATTAAAAAGCAGTACGTTTCAAATGGGTCACCGTACTCAGACAGAGACTTGGCAAATTTCATAGCATACACAAGGGTCAAAAAATCTTCAGAAAACTTTCAAGTTTGATAATTCACATAGCTGAGGTTAACTATAATCAATTGTCACTGATACTAGGCTCTGAAGCACTTGGTCCCTTTTGCTCTTTACACTCTGTTTGATGATTACCTTGGGCTCACTGATTTAGGGCGAAGTCTGAGATTTACCATCTTACTTCTGCAAAGTAATTTCTTAGCTACAAAAGAAAATAACATTCTCAATTCTGAGCACCCTCTGACTCTCCCTGGAGATAAAGATGCCTCTACTTGCTTCTTTGATACAACTGGACCCCAAGCAGTCCCTGGTAACTGCCTGAACAAAAAACAATCACGTATGACTATTAACACCAGAGGCTCTCCCTACAAGGACTTCTCATATGTGCAGCTGTCCTGAGCCTCCACCCCAACGGTATATCAGACCCTTCCACTGAGCTACCACCACTCCCCTTCTCAGACTTCACTCCTGCCTCGCCTCACCTGGCACAGATCCACATGGAATCATTTTTAAGTCAATCAATTGGCCAGGCATGGTGGTGCATACCTATAATCTCAAGGACTCGGGAAGCTGAGGAAGGAGGAGGCCAGTGTAGGCAACTTATGGAGATCCTATCTCAAAATTTAAAAAGGGCCTGTGCTATAGCTCCGTGGTAGAGCACTCCCAGAATTCAATTCCCAGTACCCCCCCAAAAAAAAGTCAATCAATCGATGGAATTCCCCTTGCTCAGCATCTCCAGCAGCTTCATTACACAGAGATTAAAATCTCAACTCCTACCAGGCCTGGCAGGCTAATAGGATGTAGCTACCCTGATCATCTCAGGGCCTCCCTCACATCTTTTCTCCTGAAATCCCATACCCTCCAGCCAGCACTGGTCTTCTTGCAGAGCCTTCTGTACATGCTGTTTGCTCTGCCTGGGAAGCCAGGCCTCCATATTTTCCCATGGCTCATTCCCCTCTATTCAGTCTCTGTTGTCCCATAACCTCCAAGGGATGCCTTGCTGCCACCACTCTGTCCTCTCCCCTAGTCACTACCTGGGACCACAGCCTACACTGGTTACTCATCCGTGTGTCTGTCACATCTGTGGTCAATGTCACACTGTAATGATTGGCCCAGGAAAGCCACTCCACATATACTAAGCAATCATTCATCGACCCATTTTGCCAGGAAACCCCTGACTCCAACCAAAGATGGTTCTTATCAGCTCATGATCTATGAGGTCAGGATCACATGGTTTTTGGAATAAGCAGAAACCACTCAGCAAATACACCTGGATACTGCAGGTAACCGTGCTGCCCGGGGAAGCTGGGAGCTCTGGCGCCCACATCCACTAGTCTGTACAAGCAGGAATGGCTGCTGATGCAAGGAAAGGCCTCCTCCTTTATGATCCCCCTTCTCCAGACAAAGCCAAGAAGTAAAGGGCTGTTCTTGAAGTAGGAGAGAGGAACTCTTGAATTCAGTTGCCCAGTTCAGGATCTCTCTTCTCACTCTGACCTTACAGTGTTAAATTTTTGGCTTGTTGTTGTTGTTGTTTTCCCAATCTTTTTTAAAAACTGAGCAATGTTTTAAATCCAAAAGTATTTTTCCAAAATAAATATTTAACTTTATTTTAAAGAAAAAATGCCCAGATTATAGAAGGTTTTCTTAAAAGGTGCTTCTGAAAGTTGCAACTTAGAATAAGAAATACCCCTAATGTATGCATTATATTATTTCATTATTTTTGAAACATAAATATGATCAGGTAATTTTGTCATAGTTAGAAAACATCAAAATATCTACATTTCAAAATAAAAAGTAGGAAACTTTCCATAATAAAGCTGCCAGCATTCTGAGCTTTAGTGTATACACTGAGGTAATCTCACCTAACAGTCCATTTGCTGTAGAAATATAGTCCTCCAGAGCAATAATTTATATCAGTTTGACATTGATTCTACCTTGTGATTCTGAGACATGTGGTTACTCTAAAAGGGAGGAGAGAGGGTGAGGCCACATGGAAGCTTTCTGATAAAGCTGATCAATAAAAACCAGGGCAACGGCAGCAGGAGAGGTGATAGGTCAACAACAACACACAAATGGGTGTGTGAAAATCATGTATGACCCAGGCTGGCTCTCCAGTCTGTTCAGGTTAAAGTGGTCTTTCAGGACAGCTGCCACTGCTTGTACAATTCAAACAGGTCCTTGTCAAAAAAGATCACTGTGCATGCCACCCTCACTTACCTACACTCCTAACACTTTTTATGAAAAGGCCAAGATTCCCTTTTAATCTAAGATGGGAGAACTTTCCTCCTGTCCCACTATGTCCTGCTCTAGTTCCACATGGGGTTAAATGAAAATGCCCTTAAAGGAGAAAAGGAGGAAGTAGAAGGTGGATCCACAGATAACAGTGAGAAAACAGTAAAAATAGAGGAAGAAGTGGGGATGACAGAGAAAGAGGGGCTGAGGGGAAAAAGAAAGAAAAGGAAAAGAGGAGAGAAAAACCAGTCAGAGCCCAGGATAGAGGAAGAAAGAGAAAACACAGAGAGTGAGGGAGAAAGTGAAAAAAACAGCAGGGAGTTTAACAAACACAGAGGCTAGGAGAGACACAAGGGGAAAAGCACGGAGAGAGGAAGAGAAAGTTCCTGGGGAAAGAATAGTGATCTATATCATGGAGAAGCTGGTGTTAGAGCCCCTCTTGTTCCATGTACTGTATTATGCCATATGTGGGAAGTGAACAAGCCTGGAACTCCGCCTAATAACATCTGCTGCTGACTTTAAGAGCCCTAATAATAGCACAGCTGGTGTCCTCTGCCGCATGAGCTCACCGCCCACGTGACTGCTCCTTCCTTGGCAGCTCCTCCAGAGAAAGGAGGTACCCGGGAAAGTCCCGCCTTCCGCCCGCCCTCCCCAGCCTGGCTTTATTTCCCCCAGGGCCTCCATTCTTTCCTTCCAGAAACCACTCCCACCCGCTTTCCTGGGCTGAGTTACTCAGATTCAGCAGTTCCTCTGAATAGGCATCTCCTTAACAAGAAAGGCAAATATCAGACATCAAAGGTGGGGACATCACTACAGATCTTACAGGAAATAAAAGAAGAGTAGTTATACCAATTAATTCAACACCGATGACATGGACAAAGTCCTTGAGATAGACTACTTACCAAAACTAACAACTAGAAAAAGAAGATCTGAACAACCCTTCATCTATTCAAGAAATAGAGCTCCTAATGAAAACCCTTTCCACAATACAAGAAGAGGCCAGTGTGCCCCCAGTGCGCACTGCTGCCAAGGTATGGCCCCCTCCAGAAGCACAGGGGACTCCAGGTCTGGGGAGGCAAGTCTGAGACCCGGGAGCCTTTCCTATATGAGAAGTGTTGCTAGGAGGAAAGGCAGCACAGGAGAATAGTGAAGGAGGCGGGAGGTCAACCAAGAAGTGGTTCACATGGCGGGAAGTTTTAACCCTCACTTGTGCAAGTCTTGAAACAAATTCCTATCACAGTACACTTTTAAAGGCCCGCTATCATTTTAAGAAACTACACCTAAGCACAGAACGGGGAAGAATTTCAGCCTCTAAGGGGAAGCAGAGCTGGAAGTGCCAAAAGGGAGACTCCAATTGGCACTGATGCTGGCTGTCTCCATAGCAATTGGAAGAGGAGCTGAGAAACCTGGGATCTCTCACTCTTGGTCCAGCAACGCATCCTGACTGCCACGAAGGGCCAAGTGAATATGAAACATGAGGTTTATTCACCAGAAAAAGACAAAGGTGGCTACGCTTCAAAACCCACACTTGGTGACATGCAATAGCATGGATGGGTTTGTAGGCATGCAGTACTAAGGTTAACAAATTACTAAATTCCATTCCTGCCTGCAGGTAATTATGCAATAAAAAAATCACACGAGAGTTAGAAGTGAGCAATCATTAACCTTCCCTACTGCTAAACACTGTTACATACTGAAAGACTGTGTTTTACTCCTTGTTAATACCATAATAATAAGTTACCTAAATGAGTTATGTAAACCTTTAACAGTTCCATATTTTGATTTATAACATCAGCTGTGAATCACTCTTGCTATGAAAACTACAAAACTTGTGAAAATTCAAAGACAATGATTCAACTATTTAAGAGCTACCATAAATACTTCATAGGTCATTCTCTTGAATGTTTAGTACACTGAGAAGATCCCTCTGCAAGACACCACACAGCTGTTTGCATTCATAAAACCCTGAAAGACCTCAACATAATCAATCACAACTTCAATCTCTGTCCTTCCAACCTGTCTTTTTCCTCTTTTTGGGTCTCACATCCAGGTCATGTCTCAAGAGATTCCCCCAGCTCCATCTTCAGCCCCTGCCGAACCCTGTTGGGCACCTGAGGCAAAAGGAAAATACATAAATATTGATCCTGTCTTTTAACTTTTATATTTTGTTTATCATGGATTTTGTTAGCACTTGGGGATTTTTTAAGTATTGTATTAAAATATTACTTATCTGAGACTGGGGGTGTAGCTCAGTGGTTGAGCACGTTTACCATCAGCAAGGCCCTCAATTTGATCCCCAACACCACACACACACAAAAAAAAAAATATTTAATTACTGAGTTTATGACACCTCTCTTATATTTTGTACCCTAGGTAAGTGCCTTCAATAGCTTCACCCTAGCCCAAGCGCTGGCCCCCAATAAAAACAATACATCCTTGGGCAGACCGAAGACAGACAGACAATACCCAGGCTTCATTAACTACCCCAAAGACTGAACAACAGCTGCCTCCAAGACCATCTACCAAGGTATGTGTGTTCTAAATGCCTTTAAGGGGTAAGTGGTATGGAAAACACAAGTCAGAGAATAGTGAAATTCCATGGAAGAAATATTTTACATCCTTTTGCACTACTATCTGATAGTTGACAAATCAATTAGACCCTTCCATTTTCTTATACACTGAATGAACCCCATTAATTTTTACTTAACATGTTCATCTTATACTGTGGATGCACTTTTTATGTAACCACAGTTCCGGCCTCCATCACCATAGGAAAGTTTTGCCTGTTTCCAAAGTCATATGTGAGTACTTCTGTTTGTGGTGTCTTTTGCTTAACATTCTGTCTGCAACATTCATCCATTTGTTGCATGTATTAGTGCTTCTCTCCTTTTCACTGCTGAGGAATACCACAGTATATGATTATATCACAATTTGTTTATAGAGTCACCCATTGATGGCATTTGGGTTGTTTCCAGTTGGGGACTACTGTGAGTAAAATTGCTATGAACTAGGTATATAATTGCTTGTTTCTGTTGACTACTTGACCAGGAGAAGTCAGTAAATCTTTGGTCATAAGGCATACGTATGTTCAACTGTAATAAATATTAACAGATTTCCAAGTGGCTATTCTTTGTACATAGTGTGTGATGCTTATAGTTGGTCCACACCCTTCCCAGCACTTGGTGTTGTCAAATTTCTTATTTTATCCATTCTCATGGGAACTGCATAGGTCTCCTTGCTCAAACAAGCAAATTACAATTCCTCTAATTTTACCATGATTCTATAGTTCCCAAAATGCAAACTATAAAAAAAAAAATCACAAAAAGGTACAGTAAACTCTCTATTCAGGGCTAATTTCAAGAATCATAAAATATAAATATCTGTGAGAGACAGCATAGATGTGTTGGCAAGGAAACTTGCAAAATGTTACCAACACCAGGAGAACTCCTGTATTCAACAGGTTGCTATAAAATGGCTAAGCCAACATCCCTTCTGAACAATGGAAAACCAAGTGATACAACCACAAATATTTGCACATCTACTACATATAAACCAACTCAAAGGACATGTTAGCCTTTATCTCACTAGGCCTCCAGCAACCTGTTGCCAAGAGAACTGTCCCACCCCCGCCCCCACCCAACCCCCACCTCCACCCCCAGCATTTCTGATCTAGTCCCAGACTCTGCTCCCTCCTCTAAGTTTTTCTACCGTGACATCATTACAGTGTCCACAGTATGATCCCCAATCCCTCACCTCAAACTTGGATCTCCGTTCCCAGTGTCAGTCTCAAATGTCCCACTACCCTGAACATCTCCATTTGGAAATCAGGAGCACCTCATGGCACATTTTAAACAGTGCCCTCTGGGTCCTTGCACCAGTACAACTGAGTTACTGCAATCTGACTCAGAAACCTCAGTCTCACCCTTGGCTCTGCCCCTCCCTCATTCTAGCGCCCCCCCCTTAGCAATTGAGCCTCAGCTTTTCTCCTCAGTGCCACTCAAACACACCCACTTCCTTCCATCCACACTATCACTAACTCTCCCAATTGAAGTCATTACCCTGTCACCTTGAGTATAGCCAGAGTTTCTGTGGCAGGGCTCAGTCACAGAGGAGGTAAAGGAGGCCAAGCACCCACCATACACTGGCCTGGGAAATGTTCCCAAGGTGAAGCCAGACACCTCTCCTAATGCCACCCAGACCTGCCATGGGCCTTCCCTTGGGAACTCTGCAAACTTTATCCCTTTTCTACCCCAGTGACCAAATGATGCAGCTTCTGAGTTTGTGAGGGAAATTCTCGAATTTGCTGATGATCTCTGCCATACTGCCTCCTAACAAACACAGAATTCAGTATACCATGAAGAATTGATCATAAGATAACCAAAGTCCCAGAAATATTTATAATTGTTTTTATTCCTTTCTATCATTTCTAACATCAGGAGACCAGGTAACATTCAATAGTGGTTAAAACATTCCTCTTGTACTAAAGTAATCTGTTTTCTTTTTATGTAAACTACTTTCCTATCTTCCAAGTACAGAATAAACACATCTATTGCCCAATGATTTGCTTTTTCACGCCTTTTACCCACTGTTGTAATAATAAAAACATTCTGCTTGTTTTTCTCAAACAGAGAGCTGTTTTTCTCAAATATATAATAACAAACTACATTTTTTTCCCACAAGAGATCTTTGGAATGTCTTGAGATTTGTGTCCAAATACCAAGTACAAAGGGAATTTTCTAATGCCTTGGGACCACTGCAAAGTTAACCCTTTCTTCTGAGATCCAAGGCAGGGAAATTAGTCATCCAGTGAGCAAAAACCATCCGTCACACAATGCCTTAGGCCACAGGGACTTTTCTGGTTAGTGCTACAAAGGTAAAGGCCAGCACACTCCCCCAGGGCCTGGCGCACAGTGATGCTCCCAAATTATGTGTGGATGAATGGATCAGAAGGAGCCCACTAACAACAATAATAATAGCTAACACAAAATGCTTGCTGGAGCTGGTCACGTGTATTAATTCATGTAATCTTCTTAATAACTATATGAGGTAAACATACGAGGCAATGATTCAGGACTACAGAAAGAGGAGTTTGGGGGTTGGGATGTAACTCAGGGTACAGTGCTTGTCTAGCATGCGTAAGGCCTTGGGTTCAATACCCAGAATGCAAATAGAAACAGGATTTGTGTGTTGTTGTTATTGTTTGTTTGTTTGGGGCAGGGGTTTGCTGGGTTAACACATCTAAGCAGCAATCTTCAAGGGGGAAAAAAGAAACACGCTTCATATATATGGATGGTGTGGTGCACTTCATCCAGACTGTTAAATCTAAAGTTTTTTATCTTTTAACTAATGAATGAAAACAAAGCTACAGCCCAGAACCATACTCATAATACTCAGCATTTTATTTAAAATATATTCTGAATGCAAAAGTTGAAATGATATACCCTCTACCTGAGGGACACTTTTTTATTTTTTCTCCTCTATCCTGAAAGCCAGTAAACCAGCTGTCTCAGAAAGTCTGACTCCAGCTATGTCACACACAGACCAAACTGGTGAGTCATACATACAGCAAATTGTTCCTTTTCCTCTTCCCACCCTCCCTCCAAATCACTATAGTGTGTCCTCAATCACAGGTTTGGTTTTTTGTTTGTTTACTTGGTGTTTTACATCCCTTGGCACAATTTCTAACTTTGTAACATGACAAGAATCTTCCTGTCCCTTTAGTTTAAGTAAACCTCCCATTTTCTTCTCAGATTGAATTTCTGCAGTGCAGATAAGGCCCACATCTTTAGACCTTTCACTTGATTAAAAAAAAAAAAATGGCCCTTGATATTCTCACTGTATTTCCAAATCTCGGAGATACCAAATTACCAACTCAAATTCAAAGTCCAACAGGCTAATCAAAGTTATTGTAAGAATTCTATATTCAGAATCATGAAATGTGGTTGGAGATGTAACTCAGTGGTAAAGCTCATGCCTACCCTGCACACAGCCCTAGGTTCAATCTCCAGCACCAAAAAAAGAAAAAAAAAATCAATATACTGGTTTACTGAGTTACCTTTCTTTCCTCTTTAATCCATCAACTGACTCCAATTTAAAATATAAAACATAAGGGCAAAGAATGGAGGGAAAGACCTCAAACACTTGCAGCTTCTAGGAATCATATTTATTCACATCCCTCTGCACTTATTAACATAAATTAAATGCACTGCCCCAAGAGTTTAACAGTAATCAGGAGGAGCGTGAGTCAAAGCAAGGACTCCTAATATCCCATTGCTTTTCAGGAATTTCTCCCAGCTCAAAGCAAGGCAGACTATGACTGGTGCTGGGAAAATACCAGGATGAAGGGAGAAAAGTGGTTATATTTCAAAAGAAATAACCACCTCACACCCATTAGGATGGATATTATTACACACACACACACACATACACACTCACACACACACACACACACAGTATAAGTGTCAGTAAGGATGTGAAGAAACTGAAATCTTTGTGCACTGCTGGTGAGAATGTGAAATGATAACAACCATTGGTGAAAACAGCATAGAAATTCCTCCAAATATTAAACATAGAATTATCATATTATCCAGCAATTCACATTCTGGGTAAATGGCCAGAAGTGAAAGAAAGAGATTCAAATAGATCTCTGTAAACCAACATGCATAGCAGCATTATTTACAGTGGCCAAAAGATGGAAGAAACCCAAGTGTCTGTTCCTCAGTGGATGAAATGATAAACAAAATATGGTATATAATCACAATGGAATATTATTCAGTCTTAAAAAGAAAATTCAGGGGCTGGGGTTGTGGTTCAGTGGTAGAGCACTTGCCTAGCATGTGCGAAGCCCTGGGTTCGATCCTCAGCACCACATAAAAACAAAGAAATAAAATGAAGGTAATGTATCCTATTACATCTAAAAAATAAATATTAACCAAAAAAAAAAAGAAAATTCGGGAGCTGGGGTTGTAGCTCAGTGGTTGAGCGCTTGCCTTGCACGCATGAGGCCCTGGATTTGGTCCCCAGCACCACATAAAAAAACAAACAACAACAACAAAAAAATAAAGATATTATGTCCATCTACAACCAAATAAATAAATAAGGAAATTCAGAC